GTAGTTGCTGCTATTTCTACTGTGTATCTCTGACAGTGGAAATAATGCAGCACAGTCTAAAAGAGAATACAAATTTTTCCTTGCTGTCAAGCTCTGAACCGTGAACTTGCTCAGAACTCTTATCCAATACCTGTCTAGGCATCAACTTCTGTAGGGAGACCTCTGAAGTCAACATCATCTGCTTCTGCAGGACAGACGGGAACTCAGAGTCAAGTAGCAGCTGCAGAAGGAAATGTTTCCAGCGCACCCCAAGCAAGGCCTGCACACAAAAGCACCTCAAGTAAAAACATGCTGCCATCTCAGCCAAATCTCCAGCCGTGGGGGAATGCTGGAGCAACACCAAAAGCTAAATGGAAAAAACTAGACTATGTAGTAAGTTCTCCACTGCATTGTGAATTTCAAATTATTACCATGGTCTTTTTTTATGAGATGTGAAATAATCAAAGTATTACTAGACAGAAAATAGTCAGACTTCTTCATTTTGTGGACAATGAAGTAGAGAGTTTGGTGATAAATTGTTGCTAACTTACTAATCACTTTCTGTTCAAATGATTTTTTTTAAATGTATAGCCTTCCAGCGATGATCCATGCATCATATGCCATGATGAGTTAAGCAGAGACTCATGTGAACTGGAATGTGGGCATCATTTTCACAGAGAAGTAAGGATTTTTTTTCTTACCTTAGTATTGCTTAGATGCAAATGTTGACTAACTCTGTTCAGTTATACAGTTTTTTTACTTTTTAAAAGTTTCTCCCTCCCCTTTATCCTTCAGCATCTGAAATTAGGATTGGCAGGACATTGTTTTCCTCTCCATACTTTTTGCACCAGGACTTGCTATATGCAGTATTAATGTTTTGAAAAGTTTCCAGTTTTAGATATTAACTAAGATGGTAATTCATCAGACTGAATTTAAGCTTACTTTGAATTCAGAATAATCCAGTCTTGGTAATCAAATTACGGATTTCTGTTTGCAGCATCCTTAGAGAAGGGGCCACTGCTATAAAGCTGCTTTTGCCACCTGATAGGAGCTGCAGGTGTAACTTCATGTATTAAGGAGGCAAAAAATTATACTGGAATAACACAATACTTCTGTCCATGACTTTTTCCCATTTCCATATTTGTTGCTCTTTTGTCACTTGCAGAATAGTTTGGTGAGCAGAACATCAGAACTGGAGAATAGTTTTCTAACTGCAAATTTCATAACAAGTTGTGCAAGGGGGTACTGAGACTGTTTCCTCAGCGTAATCTTCCTGTTCTTGCAGTGCATTAGAAAATGGCTTAAGGAACATTCGAGTACCTGCCCTATCTGCCGCATCCACGTTCTGTTACCTGAAGACTTTCCTGAGCTCCCTGCACGCAACAAACATGCCTAAACCTTGTTTTGTGACACTCAGTAAGATGTGGAGTGGCTGCAGATAAATAACCATCCCAACATGGCATGGAGACGTGATGCCTAAGAAGAGGTGGAACCCTGGTTTTAGTGGAAATGATAGCAGAATTTGTTCTAATGCAGTATTTAACACTGAGCTGTAAGACACAGGTATTGCTGTGGCACTTACTGGATGAAGACAGCGTACTCCTTAAATCTTCTCCTGGTTGCTGCCTTCAGCAGCATGTACCTCATGTACCTCATGTAGTTCTGAGGCCAGGACCACGCTGGTGGGGTTCTTGCTTAGGGGAGTTTCAGTCCTTAATCTGTTTTTCTCAAAGGCTGCTTCTGTATGTGCACAGTACCTCTAAAAAGGGGTTTTCTTTAGAGCTGATACTACACCGAAAATAAATAAAGGTGGGCCAAACAATAGACTGGCAGAATTTGGAATAACCAAGCCATCACCTTCCCTGTATAAACAATTGCAGGATTCCAATTGAGTTTCTTTAGATCATTATGAATATCATTTGTGTAATTGCAAGTCTTCATGTAAATCTGGAACTGATAATTCAAATTGTTTAAATGATAACTCTTAGCTATACTTTGAAGCACTAAATATTCTCTAAGTATTCTTCTGTTCATACATCGATTTTAGAATACTGTGATTCAATTCTGTAATGTAAAAATACCTTAAATTTCTCTCCTTGATGAGCTGATTTGTTTAAATTGGCACTAAAGGATTTTTATTCTTGGTGAAGCAATATAAAGCAGTTGTGTTCTGTGCACAAATGTCAGTTTATCAGCAGTGTGAGGTACATGGTACAACCAGCTGAAGGAGTGGCTGTCCTACTGCTTGAGAAGTCTGAGTGTGCCATGAGTGCCTTCTGCTTTGTAAAATTTGTTTCAGACAGCCAGAGATCCAGGTATGCTGCATGGTGTAAACACCCTCAAAATGTGGTGAGTCTGACCATTGTTTGGGCACAAGCAGTGTTCAACTATTTCAGGTTATGGCTTAACGGATCATTTGTTTCTCCACGTCAGTAAGTATACAGTTGAAGTTTCAAAGCATCCTTTGATAAGTCAGTATGTTCAGTGGAACTTGGGTCAAAAATAAAATTACTTCTGTAGCCTCTGTGGTGGTTCTTCTTGTGTAATATGTTTGTTGATTGTGAATTCTTGATGCATAAGGTACTATCTGCCAAAGAGCTGAGGTGCTGTGCTGCCTGAAGGATGAGGTACTGTTCTGCTCTGCATTACACTGCTTGCATCCTTGTCAGCTTGTTTTTTCTCAGTGTGTGAGGAGAGGACAGGCAGAGCAGCCCCCACACATGCCACAGGTGATCGTGTTCTTAACCAGAACACAGCTTGACAGCACTGGCTGTTAATGTGGGGTCTTAGCATTGAATTCACAGAATCACAGAATTGTAGGGGTTGGAAGGGACCTCCAGAGATCATCGAGTCCAACCCCCCTGCCAAAGCAGGTTCCCTACAGCAGGTCGCACAGGTCGGCATCCAGGCAGGTCTTGAACATCTCCAGAGAAGGAGACTCCACCACCTCCCTGGGCAGGTGATATTGATATTTTATTTATAATTGATATTTATTTATAATTGATATTTACATATGTTATGTTCTTGCTTGCTACCAGCTAATCTTGTCCCTCACAGCACACATAAGTAAGGTGGATGTGGTGTTTGTTTTCCTCTAAAAATCTTTGCTCCTTTTCTCTTAACTTCTAAAAACCACAAGTTTTACTGACAGCCAGAGGTAGGCCATTCACAGCTTTAAGGCCTCCTTTTAAAGCAGACAAAAACAAGGTCTAGTTTTATGTAAGATTGTTTTGAAGGAGATGAGGTGTCTGACCTAGGTGCACATGAGGTAGTTTATTTCCAAACTGAGACAAGGTAAAGCAGACTTGCTCTGTGTTTGGGAATCCTGACTCATGGCTGTACTGAATGCTGAATAATTATTCCTGTCGTGTTTGGATGCTGTTGATTTTTTTTCTTTGTATGTGGAAAGGTTGGGTACGTGCTCCACAATAACAGTAGAAGTATCCATCTGCTAGAAGAGTCCAGTTTCTAATCCAGCTCTCAGTTGTCAGCAGTTTATTGCAGAGTCTCACATTAATCCTTGGCTTCCAGTCAGAGCTGCCTTTCAGAGAGCAAGAAAATCATAGAGCAACAGAAGCACTTCAAAGCCGGATTTTGTCAGATGTCTCTCCTCCATTCTCAAACCATTCGTCAACCATCAGTACCCCAGGAACAACATGGTACAGGCAGAGGGGCAACCTCCTAGACTGCAGTTGAAGGAGTTCTGCTGCGGATACAATAGCCAGGGGCAGTGAATGCCAGTGCTTCTTTTCATTTATCTTTGGAATGTGTGAAGTGATGCTGCTGCTTTAGGTTTGAGCAGCAGGTGGCACTCCTGTAGACTAGAAACAGTCTCAAGTCTAGACTAGGAATAGGGGCTGTTGTTTTCCAGAAATCATGCTGTACTTACTGGTTCCTGATCTTAAAAAAAGTGTGTATTTCTAGTTAATGGGGAGAGGAAAGAGAGGGGATAGAGAACAAAGGTGTTCTGTTATTTTTTTTTTAAATAAATGTAAGACATTAAAACAATATCAAATGCTTACTCCTGAAGTACAGCTGATACCAAACCACTGGTAAACTCATAACTACATATTCCTGCTTAGCAATACTCCTGGAAAAAGCTACAGGAAGTTGGTTTTGGCAGTTCTCTTTAATTCTTTTTAGGTTGTTATACATCATAGTTGATGTATATGCCCTATATATTACTTAACCTGCCTCCATCCCATGCAAATTTTGTGGAAAATTAGCAACTAGAAGAAAATTGCAGCTGTTTTGTTAACTTCAAATAACATCAAAATCCATTACCTGTTCATCTGAGGAAGGTTGCTTCTTGCTGGAGTGGATTTTTTTTTCCCCCATCTAGTTCCTACTCTGCCAGTTTCTATGAACTTTTAAGATTTATGATTACAAAGACTTAACATATGAAAGTAAGTATACAAATTTACACTAAGAAATAAAAGTATTTATATAAATTTCCTTTCAGGTGCTTGTATTTGTACTTTCATATTAGTAAGTGGCAATATTAACCCACCTGTTTAAGCAGCAAATGGCCTATCTCCCTTGGAATAGTTGCTCACATCATGAATAGTTTCCTATAGGCACAAGGTGTCACAGCATAAAAGTATTTTTGGCCACTTTCTTCAGTACTTGGTGTTGTCTACACTCTGAGCAGAGGGCAATGCAACAAGGCGGTGCTGCTGTTTGTCATGTCAGTCATTCCTTTTTCACATCAGAGCTGAGCTGCACAAGTCTAGTAAAGAGGAAAGATGTTAAAGTGTCCAGAATAAGTGCAGTTTGAAGCTAAAAACTTCTGACCTTTCTTGGCACTATTTTACACAAACAGCAAAGGTAAAGCAAGGGCATTCCAGGGAATAGCCAAGGAGAAGTTACCTGTGAAGCAGTAACTTCAGTTTTAAGCACTCCTTCGAGGCAGACTCATTCCTAATTTGACCAAAATACATTTGATGTTATTTCACCTCATTACCCATTTCACATCTCTTAATTCAGTCATTGTGCACTATTCATTTCATGACACTGTGCACTGTAGTAGCACCATTTATTATACTTCCACAGGCACTATTCAGTCCTGTCCCCTCCTCAAATATATATACAGTAAACCATATTAACAGAACTGACTTCATTTAAGAGGTCTTTGAAGGACTTTGGAACAAGTGTTACGTTATGAATTAAACAGAAAAATTTGCTTCACATATTTTTATAACTTGTGAAAATATGCAAAAAAAACATTCACAATTTGTTTGAGAAAAAAACCACAGAAAATCTGGCTGCTGAAATCAGATAGTTGACAGAGCTCTCAGGATAGTTAATCCACGTAGGCTACCATAGGACAGGCAAAGGCTTTGGGATAACTGAGAGCCCAAGAACCACCATCAGGAGAAAGGAAGTGATAAGTTTTCACTTCAAATAACAAGATAAGATAAAATCTCATTTTGTCTCTGAATGATTTCATCCTTCTGTGACTCCTTAAGTGATTCTTCCTCTGGCTATTTACATCCTGCAGAGCTTCAGTGGGAAGTTCTCTGTGATGAGATGATCATCATGCAGGAGGACAACAATGTTCACTTCAAACTCTACAGGAAAAGAAAGAGTTCCATTAATTAATCCATTCAACTGAACTGTAACAGTGAAAACAGAGCAGACACTTTCTACACTCAGCTGCATCACACCACAGGACTCCCAAGCTGTTTCTACAGCCAAGTCATACAGGGATGAAAAGGTATTCCAGACAGAACCAAATTAGAGGCATCTGAGACCTTGGGCCACCGAGACCCTTGGCTTCTTAGAAACTGAGTTTCTTCTGGATTTGCTTCCCTGTGACTGAAAATTGATGCCTTTTGACCACTGTGTGATCAACACAGATGACATAGAAGATCAAACAATTACAGATTAAAATGGACTTTGGTATGAGAAACCTCAAAAGCATATGCTTTTTTTTTAGAATCGTGTTGAAAAGTTAAGGAACAAATTCCTGCCCACACTGTCAGAATGTAACATAAGATTTTAAGGCCTTACAGAAAGTGAAGTTAAACACCAAAAAACCATATACGTGTAAATGATGAAAAAGTCTCAAAATCTACTCTTCAAATATTACATTGTGTTGGTCAGAAATAGGATCAGGATCAGGTCTGTAATGACTTCTAAGTGGAGACAATATAAAGACAAGTAGAGTTCCCAGATGAAGGAAGGCAGAGATTACACTGAACATAGCTGTCTTTTTTGGGCACTTTCATACTTCAATTAAGACTTCAAATTCATAAAAATAGATACGATATTAACAGCAGCCATTTCTTATTTAATAGTAAGAAATGGCCAAAGTAAACCAGAACAGTATTTTGGGGGAGTGGGAAGGGGAAGTGGAGGGAAAAAAAAATAAAAAAAATCACAGTACATCAGGTACAGAAATGCTTTTGGGGGAACAGACAACCAAGTAATGAAAGTTGGAAAGCTACCTGTGCATATTTGTCCAAGATACACAGCAGAAAAGTAACAGGAGCTTCAGGTGGGAAGGATCTTGGAAGTAGGGACTTAGACTGTAGTAACAGCTACTACTGTACTAGCAGCCTCAATGTGATGCAATTAAATTAAAAAAAGCAACAAACAAACAACCACAGGCAGCAATGAGAATTTCTGAAGTACTTATTTGAACAAATGAGAACTATCCTAAATTTTAGATGTTTGTTAATGAAGATGGTAGAGTTTGGATACAGTTAGGAGGAAGTGGCCTGTGTAGATCAAGAAAGTAGAGTCAGGTACAATCTGCCTCACTTCTGAATCTATGCAGCAGGAGAATGGGAAGCAAAAAAAAAAAAAAAAAATGCTATGGAAGGAGGGGTTCTCAGCAGTCATAGAAAGAAGGAATCTTTCCATTTTATTCTCAGGCTACTATTCAGGTGTTGAATAACACCATATTTTTTTTGGCAGAAAAAAGTTACTCATTGATTATTCTGGTCATGTAATTCTCTTAGAACTTGCATAACAGTATCCTAACTATTTCTAATTGGAAGCACTTGGTCTCTGCTTTCTCAGTCTATATGAAATGCAGCATACTACAGTCCTGTTCATGGAACCTCTACAAGGAAATAGTCGTCCTTGTTCTTTCTTGCACAGCGAATCATCCCATTACCTGCCAGAAGCTGAAGTGAAATTAGCAGCTTATTTCTAATGGAAGCTGCAAACAGAGCATAAGATCCTATCCACTTACCCACTTTGAAGTTTGTTGTTTCCAAGGTAGGGCAAGTGAACAACCTGGGAAACACCATGTATATAGGAACTGGTAGGCCTCTGCAGACATCCCCATCAGCAATCTGAATATTCTGTATCTCTGTGGCATCTCTGGCATAACCTTCTGCACACCCTGGTGAAAGCAAAAGAAATTCAGAGGGAGCGGAAAGGAAAAGCAAAGCAATGGCCAAAATTCAAATATGAATTCACTGGGGGTAGGAGCAAGAAGGGAAGGGAACAGGGATATGGCCTTTTGCCCTTTGATTTGTGAGTTTTCACATGAGTGCTTCAAAACTAAGTCTTAGGGATTGAATTTAAAGTAATGTTTCAACTGTTCCACACGAAACGCAGAATTATTTTTTGCCAGTGTTTTTAGTTGTATGATTTCTGACAGACTTGCATATTGAACATCTAAGTGGTAATTACTGCAGCATACACACGTTCCACCTATTGGGAAACTTACCACAGGTTTCCACACGCACTAACTGCAGCTCAATACTTTTGACTGCAGCTTCTGCACTCTCCACTACCAGCTCCCCTGTCAGTGGCTGCGTAATGACACAGTTTGTAGAACTGAGATGGCCTCTGATGAGAAATTTTGGAAGTGATGCTCTCTAAGAAGATGGAGGGAAAACAAACATAACTAATCATCTGTACCAGAAGAGAACAGGCAGCATCATCTTACAAAATAAAAACAGGAGGGAGGAGAGAGAGTAAAAAAAAAAAAAAGAAAGAAAAAAGCTAATGATGCGCAGCAAAGCATTTATTCATTCTTTTCTTGTTCAGAATCATGCAAGTAGTAAATAGTAAATTAAAAGTAAATAAATAAAACCCAAACAACTTACCTCTTTAACATTCTGCAAAGTTTCAGGAGTAATTGTGAAGTCTACTGGGCTCGGCGTCAGTTTCCCTTTCTGTGACTAAACAGTAATGAAACAGTTAAGCTGTAACTGATTTACAGCACACAAACACACTCTGAATACTAACATCAATTAACAATTGGCTGTGTTAATTTTCAGAATTGTCTGCATACAAGAAGTATCTGTGTAACAAAAGATCTGAAATTTCCTACATTTGGTAGTAAGTAATATTATGATATTGTCTAGACAGATCTCAGCATATTGCAAATCTGAATTATAGAAACAAAACTGTCAAAACTTTGATTATTTTGCACCTGCCATTGTGATAAGCCACAACATAATCTCCATTTTTAAGGTAAAAAACAAATAAACCAAGTGTTTGGCTAATCAAAATGCCCTGGAAAAAAGAACACTACCAATCTTCTGAAACATACTGAATGCCATAGAAAAAAAAATTCACATTTCTGTATTTACAAATAATTACATTTTGTATGTCATGCTTTATGTTTCCTTAAATTACCATTACTTTGTAAATTTGGGCAGGGTAAATTGGAGTAATGGAGCAAGATTATTTATATGTTTAAAGAATCTTCCCTCTTTTCTTGCTATCTCTGAGCACTTTGAGCTCTTTCTGCTGCCCTTTCAGGACCAGCTCAGGCCTGTTAAGCCATCCTCATATCAAAAAGAGATCCTCAGTTGAGGGAATCTAATCTGGCACTGATGTAACAGATGTGGACTCTTGAATCAGAGTTTCGTTGAATCGAAACAGAGAGAATCAGTTTTGAATCATTGAATCAGGAAGGCAAGTGTAATTTACCATTCGCCACGCTCTCTCCCCATCCTTATCTCAGAGAGAGACACACTGTCTTTTCCCTACATATTCTACATATTTAGAACAAGTGATCAGCACAGCAGCATCAATTAGGAGAGATCCAATTGCATGTGACTGAGAGTTGGTAGAGCACTGCTATACCGGTGGCCTTAACTTGAACTCTAAGTTAGGACTTACTCTCATTACCTAAGAATTCAAAACAGCTTCTGCTGCCCAGCTGCAAGATGGAAGATAATAGCAAAAAGATTGACTGTATTCTCCCACAAATGACAAATTCTGGCAAAGAATAAGGTTAAGGGAAATGGTACATTGAGCACTGACAGAGAGAATTATATGTTCAGTAAAACCTCATTAATTCACCCCAACTGGAAGATTTGTCATGATTTACTGACTTGTGTTCTAAGACATGCCACAGTAGGAACATGAAATAAAATCAGGAAACTGCACAATATAATTTGTTCCCTATTTTGACAACTGTGGCTTACTTATAATGATGGACTAATAAAAAGAAGTATAATACATTTTGGAAAATAATACAATCCTTCTAACAGAAGACCTCCTTTTAGCACCTAGCTAAATCTGTGGTAGTACAGAATGAAAACAGCGTATTTGCACCATATAAGAAAGAATCCAACACTTTAATTGCTCTGTTAAAAACTTCAAGGGAATGATACAAAACAATATGTTCTAGTAAGTTCCGTGTGGAAAAAGAAGAGGTATTTAGCTAGGCCTGCACACCTGTACTGACAGCACGTGCTCTGAATGTGTGTGTAAGGCAATACAAACTAAAATGTGGAAAAAAATCTGATATAGGAACTTCCAAATAACATGCAGTAAACCATTTATTGTGAGACAGTCAAATCTCAGCCCACAGCAATATAGAAGACTGTCTCCATGTCACTGACTGGAGAGCGTGGTTATTTGTTAACTTGGATATCTAGCATATTGCCAACCGTGGGCTTATATAATAAAGGTGATTAAGCTGACAAGTTTCTTCCTTCCAATTTGATGCAGTCCTAACTTTGATATTTTGGCCTGGGGCTCCAAGTCACAATTAGGCACCTAAGTGACAGAAATTATGTGCTGTCTCTCAACTAACAAACTCCCTTTTTTAGGGCAGGCTTTTGGGTGCCTGGAAGTTTTGGCTAGGAAGCATTCAAATAATCTGAAACAGCATTTAGATAAATACGTGTTCTTCTACCTACATTGTTGTTTCACTTTTAAAAATTAAATAACAGAATAAATGCAGTGCAAATCCTATTTATAATTCTACATTAAATGCAAAACAAAACCAACGGTGTTTTATCAATAAAAACTGACACATTGGCTCTTCTGGATATTTATGTTGTTATGTATGTCCTTTACTCACACATACCACAGATACAACTACTTACTGTTTTACTTAATCTTTTAACCTTACCTCCAAACTTCACTTAAAATGAAAAATAAAATAAACCAAATCAGATCCAACAAAGCACACACACAGCCAGCCTCCCCCCCTGTGTAGTTAATACAAACTGCACTTACCACTGAGTGAACAATGAATTCACAAGTCTTGGTTAGGTCTTTTGCCAGCAGAGAACGTCGCATATCACACCGCAGGGTATACTGGCAAGAATGGGATGACAAAGAGAAAGAAGAAAGACTTATTTAAGATTTCATCCATCTGTTATCTTTCAGTCCTTTGTATGGGTATATATGTATATGCAGAATGCAGATTTTAATATTTAAGGCACTGCTTACAGCAGATTAGTAGGTAACGCATATACCAATGATACAGTGGGAAGGGAAGGAGATACAAGGTATATGATTTCAGATGCCCCAAATGAAAGCTATTTTGTGCTTACAGGCCCATCCCATTTTCAAATGGTCTCACATGTTACATAACAGCCAGTGAGATCAAGGGACTAATTCACTGACACAGTAACACTCTTGTATGGCTTGAGCACCCAAATGACATCCAGCTAAGAGTGATTTCTGTACTGCTTCTCACCACATTTTTGTTTAAAGAGAAGGACCTTTAAGTTCCTGCTTATCCTTCAAACTGACAAAAAAAAAAATACACTTAAAGATACTATGACAGAAAACTTTGTCCTCTGTTTCCATGGAAGAAGAGATACAACAGGTAACAAAAGCTCAGATTTTCTTTACAGGTAGGACTCCCTTACCTGAATATTAACAAAGACACCATGATACGTCTCATACAGAACTTTGTTGCCCTTCACATGCAGTGGAAATTCAAAAGGAATTTCTGTCTTGCCACTGGGAAGCTTCCCTGGTTTTACCATTTCAATAGTGCTGTTAATAATTTGAATAGGCTGCAAAAATAAATACGAAAGTTCAGTTTGATCTACAGTGACAGTTACATCATGTCAAATGAACCAACAATATCACTGAAGTCTAACAGGCTTCTGAACTTTTTGGAAAATTCTTGATTATTTTTTCCTCATACGCAGTTCTCCAGTCTTACAAGGAAATATTAACAACGTTTCATTTGGAAAAATGATGTATGATCTATTTAATGGTTGTAGCAAAGTAACGACTACGTGCATTTAGAGAACTGAACAGCAAAGTCTGAAGCACCTGGGAAAGCAAAGTGCCATTTTCCAAATGATGACCTGTAGTATGAGTTGCAGAAATCAACAAGTACATGTGCCAGTTCAGCAGGCAGCCCTTCCCCACCACCCTGCTGCCTGCTCATCCACCACTTCTCACCCTAAAGGTTTCTCTTCTTATAAGGTTTCTTTTTGATTTATTTCTGAAATTATGGTTAGCTACAATTTACCATTGGACCGGGAAAGCCTGATAATCATGAAATATGCACACAAACGGAACAGAGCAAAAGCAGCAGGACAGAGCAAAAGTGCCCAATAGGGAAGCAGACTGAAAATCCAGCACAGCATTACTACTGGCATCTTATTTTCATTCAAGATTCCAGTTTCTTGCAAGCAGTTTAAGTTGCTTCAGTGTCTATCTGATAAGAGATGCAATCCCTCATTATCTTACTGTTCCATTACTTACACATATTTGTCACAGTTGCAAGAACTGAAAGAGTGATCGTTGTGCTGACATTTAATGAGATAAAGCTAAACCTTCTCTATTTAGGTTTATTCCAACCTGCATTTTTAACATGAGAAAGAAGAATGACTGAACTAAGCTCACTGTTCACTCGTGCTAAAAGAAGCAGCCTAACTTGCTCCTCCATGTAGCATTACTTTCTTTTGTGCTAAACTAGACATTCATCTGACCTATCAGTAAGATAATTCAAATCAGTTAAACTCATATCAGAAATAAACTTGCCCTCTCCTGATCTACTAATCTAATAAATTGAATCAACCCAAATGAACAGAAACAAAGCAGCAGAAGCAGTGCTGGATGAAGAGAAAAGATTAAATGATCTCAGCCCATCTTAGTAGGGAGCATCATAAAGGGAACTTTTTTTCCTCCAGCTCATAATGAAGTGTTTATCACTCAATTAGAAGGAAGCTAATCAATGAATGCTGGGTACACTAGGAAAAGGATACAAGATAACTATAAAGAAATATGATCACTGCAGCTTTGCTTGAAGGTTACACTTCTCTACAGTTTTACTTCTATTTTTCCTCTAGCAGGCTGGAACAAGAAAATTCTATTGCTTCTTCTGCTTTTCTGTTTTTCAATCAATCACAGACAGATTACTCATGCTGCAAACAAAGTAACTATGATACAAATTAAGACTTTAAAAGACCCTACACTTTGGCAAACTGTTCCACAAATACAGCTACACTGACTCTAGACATAGGCAACCTTGCCCTCAATCAATAGAGCCACATTTGTGTGCAGCCCAAGATAATTTGTCCTGCTAGATTCCAGACTTCACACTTCCAAACCTGGAGAGCAGTAGAGAGGCCTTCCAGGATTCTGTGTTCAAGCTGCTGGACTGCAGTGTCATACTGCACTGAGGAACTTTTACAGTACTCAGTAGCAAACAACCTCAATGGCCTCTGCAGAAACTATTAGTGTAACAACTGACCTGGACAGAAGTCCAATTAAACTTTGTCACCGTAGAATGAGTCTCCAGTGCATCCTCCAGTAACCCTAGTATTTATGTTACTGCATTTCTGCCCTAAAGAAAACACTCCAAAATGGTGAAAGAACGTTAAGCATTTCTCTGCTTTGTATCATTCGCATACCATGAAGTACTGTAACTTCCTGAGAGCCAATAAAGAAAAACCTAAGAAAATTGAGAAAAGCTTCATGCTGAAGATATCAACCTGCACAGGTTCTTACCTTGACAGAATTGTAGAAAGCTTCAAACACACCCACACTTTTGGCACTGAGCTGCAGATTTACAGATCCTTCCATTGTCAATGAGATGCCTTGGTGCTGGATTGTGTCCTTACTTGTTATGACCACGACGCCAGAAAGAATTTCCTAGTAGGAGAAAAGACAACATCTAAACAATTGTTTAAAGCAATTCCTGGTAATGCTGTTACTCAGACAACATGCTACTCCATTTTCCAACAACTCAACAAAGCTATTCCCAAAGTACAGTCTAACCCTGTTAGAAGAGACAAATACTGATAACAAAATAATGTGAGGAACAGACTCCAGTTTGTTTTCTTTAAAAACATTCTCCTTCTCACAGAAGTACTTATGGAAAGTACTTATTCCAAGTTTCAATTGCGTTCCAACACTTTGAGGTTTCCCTCTCCTGGCAAATGAAAAACATCCTCATAAGCAGCCATCAGTTCAGTTGGTAACAGATAAGTTTCATTTCCAAATCTCAGGAAAAATTTAAATACTAAAAGCAGGATGGTCAGTCATAAGGAATGGGAGAGAGAGCATAGCTGTGAAAGAGATGCCTGTGCTGATGATCAGGTTAATCTGAAGAGCTGTACAGAGCAAATTAATTAATAACAACAAAAGCCAGCAACAAAACAAACAAGAACCCCACCACTCCACAGATGTTCTGCTACACAAACCTATGCCCCACTATGTGGGAAACAGTTTCAAAGCGTATCTGAATCTAAGGGTAAGATGTGTGAACCAAGAGACAGGTCACTTATCCCACTAAGAATGTATCTGCACAAGAACACGGCAACTTTTACTTACTAATTTAGAAGGTTGAACACCGAAAAAGAACTGACTGCAGGACAGCAAGACATTTCATTTTACATACCCCATCATTTATCCTTTCCTACAATAGAGAGTCCACTTCAATCCAGTATTGCACACCAAACACTCACGCGTCTGGAAACAGCAGCAAGTGATTTGAGAACTTGGAGATTTCTTAGGACTAACTCTCTCCTGGTTGATAGTAAAGCTCTCAGCCTCCACAACAAACCACAGATTCAAACAGTAACTCAGACTGCCCACTCCACGCTCGACCAGTTAGAACCAGTCTAGCTCCGTACACTTGAATGCTGCCAGCCTTTTGTCTTTACTAATGGTACAGCATAACAATATAGAAAATGGGTCAGGCAGTTTAAAGCAGAGCATCAAGCATCACAATGAAGGCTGCCATGCTATAAATCCGAGAAGAGGACCTGCAGCAACTGGGAAACTCCAGGAACAGAAGGCACAAGCACAAAAGGACAGTGAAGAAAAGCTGACCTAAATACTGTACTGCTTTGCAAACAGGCTTTAATTAGTACCAGCAATTAGGTTATTGCTTTGAAAAGTGAATACTGCTAAACTATAAGAAGCAAGGACAGCCCTGAACGTATGAAGTGCTTCAGTAAATGAGAACAGACTTCTATCATATAGCAACAACCTATTAGCTATCACCTACACAGCTTCACACAAGAAGGTTGTATGCATTTAGGGCAGAAGGGAGAAGAATGGATTAAAATTAAATGTGATTTCTTTCTTTAAACAATAAGTATCTCCTAAGAAATAAAAGGAGATTAAAAGAAAAACCTTGAAGTCACTTTTTAAACAAGCAACTTAAGTCACTAGTCAGGAGAGAGAGTAGCATCACAAAAGAGATGCTTTAATTTTTATCTGAACTGTTTATATGCCATCAGGTTCTATCTCCATTTTACAATGGGTGCGAAAATCTACTATTCCCTCTCTTAAGAAGAGCTACTTTGTACTTTTTCATGTTCTCCCTAAACACAAAACTTTCAGTACACTTGTCCTTCCAAGAGGTACAAATCAAAAGAACATAAACATATCAAGATGGTAAATACTTACAGTCAGCACATCATTTATGAGAAAGCTTCTTAGTTTTGCAAAAGAAAACAGAATATTTGAAAAAGTTATTTGGCATCACTAGACTAATTAGTACTGTCTTCAATTGGTATCAAAAGGTATTCATTTATCTTTAATATCCTACCATTCTCTACAACTATCTGAAAGGAGGTTGTAGTGAAATGGAGTCAGCCTCTTCTCCCAAGTAATTATGATAGGGAATGGCCTCAAGTTGCACCAAGGGAGGTATAGATTGGGTATTAGGAAACATTTCTTCTCAGCAAGAGCAGTGCTGCAGTGGCACAGGCTGCCCAGGGAGGTGGTGCAGTCACCGTCCCTGAGGTGTTCAGGAGCCGTGTGGATGTGGCACTGAGGGACGTGGGCTGACTATTTGGACTGGGGGATCTCAGTTGTCTTTTCCAACCTTAAGGATTCTACAAAGGCATAGAGAAAGTCACCAGTGAAATGAAGCCCCACTTATTACAGTGGAGTAACTTATCATCAGTTGCTTTTGTTCGCTTTCTACCTTCACACTTTCCAGGAACTCCTCAAGGCTTTTCCACACGATGACAAAACTTCACAAAATGGAATAATGCTGATGCTCTTCTACAAAGAATCGTTCTCCTAAGGAGAGTAACTACCCACAGAAAGGACATCGCATCCCGTGAAGCTGACAGAGCAGCATATGCTACACTGGAACAAAACATTCTTGTGAGAAAACTGCTCCAAGTTAACGATCCCCAAATAAGCTCTTTATTCTTCTACTGTCAGTTCCTCACCTCTCAAACAGGCACATGTAACTGACAGAAAAGTCTCAGCTACAACGAACATCTGCTTCACCTAATTCAACCTCATCATCCCTTATTTCCACAGTCGTTGAGCAGAGCTATCTGAGTTTGGCTGAGGACAATTAGGGCTGATCTTTGTTCAGGAAGAAGCAATAGCGCGTAACACAGATCACAGAACCTCATCTCTAAACTCCTAAGACAAGCTGCAGCTTCTGACTAAACCAGGCAGCCAATCCGATTCTTTAAACATGATGTAAAGATTCAAAGGATCAAAGCACATTAATTATTTGCTGAGAATTACTTCTAGTGTTAAAACACACACCAATTCCAACCTGACTGCTTACAGTCAGGTCTTCTTGCTTGAATAAGGCACTACAAAAAGCTTCCAGCTAGATATGATGTACTTTCAGACGGGAGCCAGTCATTTGACAGATAAGAACATTTGCTGATAAGAAATATCAGCCTATTTTATTTTCAAATGAGAGGTACTTTTGAAAAAACACCACCACCAAAATCAATCAAACAAACCATAAGGCAAGCTTTCAGGACCACCTGAAATCTGCCACCACACATTTTCAAGTGTTGACAGCAACAGAAGACACCATAATGAATGCCAGTACATACAGAGATGCTTACCAATTACCCAGCTCCAGTTTATTTTAACTATATCTTTATAGAAGCACAGAATCACAAGATTATAAAGGACCTACAATATCATCTAGTCCAACCGTCCACCCATTACCCTTGCTACCACAAGCCACTAAACCATATCTCATAGCTCCAAGTTTTATGAATTAAGCTTGTCACTGGTTTGGCAAAATGGGAGTCCATGGTCAGTTGGTTACCAACAAAATGCTTTAGTTTCTCTTGGGGTTCCTCTTTCCACATCACAAACCTTTAATTTCAGGACTAAGGGCATGAATTTGGCAGTTTTAGACTTCCTATTAAGTTCACTTAAGTCCTGTTTACTAAATGTTCTTCATCATTTTCTGCCACATGTATTATTCTACCCAACTGATCCACCAGCAGATCTTAACTTCACATTCTTCTGATTCTTTACACAGAAAGGTACTGCATTTAATAGGAAAACCCTGCTATATCCAACTAACAGGACATCAGACATTCAACCTCAATGTTCACTATTACTAAGCAGTTTGCTTTGTCAGAAACAATAAAAAGCTTCTGTGTAGGCAAATTCTAGCTTAAGTATATTTTGGAGTCACTTGTCATTAAAAGCCTTTTGCTGACATTAATCAAGGCATTCTTCTTTGTATACTGCATTTTTTCAGCCTTTTCAGCCTGCAATTCTTTTAATTATCCATTTTGAGCTAACTACCACAGATATTCCAGTCATCCTGTTAGGTTTGCTAAATAAAACACATCATTAGCTGTGCCTGTCCCCTCTCATTCTTCCAGCATTCCAAAGTTTGTTAAATTAGCCTCAATGGCTTGAAATTTTCTCTTCAATTAAAAAAAAAAAAAAAAAAAAAGGGGGGGGGGGGGAAAGGAGAGGAGGGGGAAAAGGGGGAAGTCTCCTGAACACTGATCTTCTGTTCCTAGTTGCTGCAGTAAGCCCTATTTTGGTATAACAAAACTGGCCATTAAGATCTATTTTCTTTTTGTTCTTAAATCCCCAATCACTTCTCTCTTGCCCCCTAACAATCCTATTACTCTTTTTGCTCCAAGAAATGGTGAATGTGCTGTTCTTTACCTCCAGTTTAAGGCACTTGTTTCAACCAAGCTTACTCAAATTGAACTCTGGAAAAAAATAAAGGTCTTTGTTTGCTTATTTTCTCCAGTTTCTGATGATCATAAACAATGAACATAGAAACGGCTCACCAATTACCACAGCAAGTTTTTTGTTTTTAAAGCAGCAATTTGTTGCCATGCACAACTATTTGATAAATGTTATGTCTGCTTTCTCCCAGTTAAAAAAAAAAATAAAACAATTCACATAGAAGAAAAGAAGAATTAAAAATAGCAGTTATTGCCAAGATACTGCCTTGCACTAGAAAATAAAAATAAATAAAAAATAGGAGAAGAGATTTCAACTTGGCAAGAAAGACTGTTTTGTAATGATGAAAAATGCTCAGACTCAACTGGATTTAATATAACCAAGGTCACTGTACCAGGATGAAAAGTAACCTGACCTAATCCAAGACAGCAGGGAACAGTAATTTGAAGATTGAACCATACGGCTATTTCAGCACTAAGGAGAAATGTAGAGGTCTCGGCCTTATGGAGAAAGCCTACAGAAAACCACACATACCACTCTAACCTTATAAAAAGCAAAAAATGAGAAGTTACTCAGATGTTATTAATTTTCCTGGCCAACCATTTATTTCAGACACACACATTCTTCTCTCACCAGCCTTCTCTTATATACTTTGAACAATATTTTCACCTAACAAGAATAGAAAAGAGTTGTGCAATAACATCAAAGTTCACAAAAATTTATCTTTAAGCATTTCCCTCTATAAGTTTTTTAATGTAAACTCTCACACCCTCAGGGCCTTCATTAACATGGAATTTACTACTACGAGAACCTCTGAACTTGTTAAATACGGGTCTCTCTCATATCTGTTTCCTCTCACCGCTTCCCTCTTGGAGGTAACACAGAAATACAGCAAATTCTTTCAGGAGACCGAGATGCTGAATGGCATACACTCAACAGATCCAGAGATGAGAAAGATTTCACGCATTGTCACAGAACAGAAAACTGGAGCTCAAATGGAAGAATCAGCAGCCATTGCCACTTCTTTGGTCTATGAGGACCTAGAAGCACAAGCTGAGATTCCTCAGGCTTCTCTTCATCCACACAACTTTATCTGTTTTGTCCAGTTTCCTGCTCTCTTGGAGCTGTTCCACTCTGTGCAGTCTCCATTCTATAGGCCACCCACTGCTTCTTAAAATAAGAAAGAGATCTCATTAGGCATGACTTCATTGATTGCATGAAATCAGGGAAAACCTACAGACTTGCTTTGAAAGTCACATACTTTCAAAGGCTTAGTGTTGAAATCATAACCAACATGAGGTGTATAATCAATGAATATACAGATGTTGTAATTATGAAATAAACAAGAGATCTTGGTTAAGCAGTTATTATTGTAAAAAAATAGAATAAATAGGAGTCTTACCCTTGTCCTGGGCTTGCTGTGAAACTCCAAAGGAGTGATCTCCAAAAAGAGATCCTTCCCCACTGGTAGCCAGCTCTTAAATAGGTCTAGGATAGGTGCAGCCAGGCTCCACCCCTTCCAACAGCAAAGGTGAATTACCTTCATCTAAATTGTGCTCCCAGGGCTGACTCATTGCTTGCCTCAGGTGATCAATCAGAGGTTCAGGCTGTGATTCAACAGTTTCCACACAGTGAGAAGATGATAGAAAAGGTAACTACACTATTACAAGCCTACACCATTTAGATGGGTGTTAAAGTCAAAATGACCCTCAGAAGTTATAAAATCACCAAGAGGCATGTATTAAATTAAACACACCAGAATACTACATATCAGCTCTCAGAGCAAATATTTCATACCTACTTAGGAGTGCAAGCAGACTGTCTTTAAAGCAGTCCGCTAAAAAAAAAAAACAACACCAAAAAAACTCACCAAACAATTTTATGATGCGCACAAAAACAAGCACCAGGAACATTAATGGTTCCTTAACTATCCATCTGCTTAATTGTGCAAAAGTATTTACCTACACAGACAAACGTTTTCATGCTTTAATCAGAGCTATCTCATAAACTTCATAGAACTGAAAGTTAGGGCATCTCGCTGTCACCTTTTCCTACACATCCAGCACAAGTCCATTCTGATACTGATTGTTACACACACTGTGTTACACTCTATTTGAGAAGCCATTCATAAGAAGACAAAAAAGGGATATCCGATTCAACAGATTTTATTCTTATATATATTTAAGAGTCACTCCGTCCAAATTCTAGCCATTGCCCTCCTCCAGCTCACCAAGCAACACCACTGCAAGAAAGGCAGCAGACAACGAATGGCTGTGAAAGAGAGTTGCACTGTGAAGTTATGCTGTAATAATCATGGTTTCAGGCAAATTACGATTTCAAAAGCTTTGTGCTATTATCTTCTAATAGGCCTAGCCACTGTACAATTTGAACATCACTGGATTTGATACTCTCCAGAGGTCCCTTCTAATGCCTACAAACTGTGATTCTGTTACCATCTTCTTACATATCCAAATGCAGTTTTAAATGAGCTGGGAAAACAAAAGATCAATTCAAGCCCCAGTATCTCCACTACCTTCATATAAGTAGCAAGACATCCATATTGGGATGAGCTATGGTTTTCACTACAGGAATCCCCTCATTTTCGAGTAGCATTGATGAAAGTATTTTTTGAGATGAAAGTTGTCCTAGACTGAAGGTATTATTAGCATAGCTGATGTCAGCAAAGCATACAACAATCAGTACATTTCTGAAAAAAAAAAACAACCCTAAAGCTGCATGTGTTCCATGCCTAATTCAGGAGAGATTTGTGATGCCTTCCAATGCCTACGAAATTACCATCAAAAATTCATACTGTACTCCTAACACACAGCTCACTGCTGTTTCACATCATTCAAATCTCAGAATTCCAGATGTCGTTAATGAACTAAAACTATAAACCTCCTCACATGGAGTTTGAGTGACAGTAAACATACCACACAGATCTACTAATGGTAAGAATCATACTTAATTTCAGCTTGAAGATAGAAGAAATATCCCTTTTCTTGTACTAAGATCAGTCCTGTTTGGTATGATACAAAAGCAAGCCTAGCAGGGAACCTAAAAAGAAACACAGCAAGAAAATAACATGCATCAGCAAAATAATGAGAAGGTGAGAAACAGAGAAGAGCATTTACTACCAAAACATCACACCCAAAGGGATGTGTTGTTCACAGAATGACAGCTCAGCTTTATGGATGCTGCTGTCTCAGTGATTCGACAACTGCAGAGCAGATGTTCCATAACCTTCCATTCAAAACTGTTTAAAGCAGTTTCCCAGCATTAAAAGCATTCAGTAAGCCGAAACATGGTTAGATGCTGTATGAGACAAACCGCTACCACAGAACCACTAAGGTTAGAAAAGACCACTAAGATCACTGAGTGCAGCCCAGCCCCTCCATGCCCACGTCCCTCAGTGCCACATCCACACGGCTCCTGAACACCTCAGGGACGGTGTCTGCACCACCTCCCTGGGCAGCCTGTGCCACTGCAGCACTGCTCTTGCTGAGGAGAAATTCTTCCTAATACCCAACCAAAACCTCCCTGGTACAACTTGAGGCCATTCCCTCTCGTCCCATTGCTGTTACATGGCAGAAGAGGCCAACCCCACGTCAGCACGTCCTCTTTTCAGGTGGCTGTAAAGGAGTGAAGCCAACTGCTCTCAAAGGGAATGAAAAAAAGACTGCAAAAGTCACAGCATTTTTCAAGTAGCTGCAAAAGTTAAACTACACAGGATCACTTTACCATATACAACAACTACATTAGTGCAAAATTATTAAGAAATCGGTCAGAGAAAAAAAAAAAAAAGAAAAAAAGAAGAATTCAATCAGAGGAAAAAGCCAAGTAGAACTGCTCTTGCCTAAAGACCGTATCTAAGAAGGTATTACTCCCCATCAGGTACCAGCAACAGCACTCACCCCGCAGCGGTACACCTTGTTGGCCCGCTTGATCTTGATGTCCAGCGCCGTGCCCATCGCGCCCTGATGGGACGGGAGCGGCCCCTGCGGGAGGAAACCCACTCCCGTCACCGGCTTCCGCCCGCGGCGCTTGAGGCAGCTGGCGCCGCCAACATCCGGGGCTCCGTAGCGTCATCCCTCAGCTCGTGATTCTGCTTCCCTCCCCGCCCCTCCCCCGCTTCCTGGCACGGGGAGCGGCCCTAACGGTCGGGCTCGGCGCGGCCTGGGCGGGCTTTTCCGTGCGCAGCCGTTGTGGTGCTGCCCGCCTCGGCGGGAACCGGGCGGGGGAGGAGAGAGGAAGGTCAGTGCTCAGCGTGATGCTTAACTGCCTTACGCCGAAGGGAATTACAGTCTTAAGGAAAAAAATACAGAAGGGCTGGAGTTGTCTCCGTTACAGTTACACGTACGACTCAGCACATTGCATTTCATGTGTGCAGGCTGCGCTCTGAAAGTTGTCAGCAATTTATGAATTTAAGTAAGGCAATGCCTTGTAAAATATCAAGTGAGAAAATCTGTCAAAACAAAAACAAAAAATCCGAAGTAGAAAAATATCTGGTGGATTCACTTCAACTAATGAAGTGATTTGTCTGCCTCCACCTTGCACTGGTGCGGCCTCACCTTGGGTACTGCGTGCAGTTCTTGGCACCGCAGTACAAACAGGCCATAAAGCTGTTAGAGGGCATCCAAAGAGGGCTATAAAAATGGGGAAGGGTCTGAGGGAAAAGTGTACCAAGAGTAGCTGAGGCCGCTTGCTGTGCTCAGCGCAGAGCAGAGGAGCTGAGGGGAGGCCCGATGGCGGCTGCAGCTCCTCACAGGGAGCGGAGGGGCAGCGCTGAGCTCTGCTCTGTGTGACAGCGACAGGGATCGAGGGAACGGCATGGAGCTGCGTCAGGGGAGGGCGGCTGGGGGTCAGGGAAAGGGGCTGCACCACAGGGCGGTGGGCACAGCCCTGATTGCTGGAGTTCAATGAGAGTTTGGACAATGCTCTCAGAAGTAGGGTTTGAATTTTGGGTGGTCCCGTGTGGAGGCCAGAGCTGGACTTGGTGATCCTTATGGTTCCCTTTCAACTGAGGATGTTCAATGCCTCTAATGCATGTGGCCATGTGTCAGCTCTGAGGGAAATGATTAAAACTCCCACAGATACGGAGCACAAATGGTTAATTCCTGCAATTTCACTGGGTCCAGGACTCAGCCACCAATGTTATGTCCAGTCCCAGAGGAAATCTACAAAGTATGAATCCAAAGCATTCAGCTGAGATGTGGCAAATGCAGACCTTACCAGCCTCAGAGACACAACACCATTCTTTCCTCATCCTACATGATGGGACCTTTTTCTTTCACTCTTAAACAATTTAGTTGGTGGCAGAGGTGGAGGGGAGATGGGATCATATGTTCACAGAATATCCTGAGCTGGAAGGGACCAACAAGGGTCCACAATTCCAGCTCCTGGCTCCACACAGCACCACCTAAAATTCCAACCCTATGTCTGAGAGTGTCCAAAGGCTCCCTCAACTCCATCAGCTCAGTGCTCTGACCACTGCTCTGGGGAGGCAGCTATGGTGAGCAGGCTTTACAGTGAATAACATGGATGTAGTGCATAGGTGGAAGGTAAAGACATTTTTCTGCAGTCTTGTCTTCCAATAAGGCTTTAGGTGGCCTGGAATAGAGGCATGGAATTGTTTCATTGGTGATATTGTGAATCCTTGAAGTCTAAATGCTAGGGCTGGTTTTCATCACCTAAGCTTACTAATTAGTATTATTTATTGCTATTCACAGTGAAAATTGATAAATAATTTTTTGAGAATGGCATTTGAAAATGAATAAGCATTCCAAGAATTCTGGAGTCATCTTTATTTTAATTTTATTGCCTTAGTATAAATATTTGTCCTTTTTTAGTTATTGGTATTTAGAAGATACATTTTCTTAGCTTCAAATAGCTCAAAAAATAAATACAAGTCCGGAGGTACCATGTCCTAGCAACAGCATGCAGAGATCATTCCTGAGCACGAATGGGCTCCAGAAATGGCAGGAGGGAAGCACTCAAGTGACATGAAGAACTCCAAGTTCTGTGTTTAGCTTTCTCAGCCATGTGAAGCCAAGAAGATGATTCTAGCCTGTCCCCTCTCACTCCTGTGCACACTTCAGTGCTAAAAGTGATGCTGTATTAAGGAAGAAGACCGCCAAAACACTATGCCATCTGTGCTGCTTAAGTGCTTATGGAAAGCTTGGCCAAACAAACAAACAAAGCCCAACAAAACAGTGCACATTCATAATTAGCAGCATCTTTTGTTCTGGGGAAAGAGCAGAGACTGCTGTCATTAAACATTCTGCAGAGAGTGTTTCAAAGACAGAATCTAAGTGCTAAGAGAAAGGAATATTTAGTTACAAAGGATTAGTACTGTGCTTCATAGCTAGTCCCTGTTGCTAGTCACTTTGCAACAGGTATAAAGGAACTTATTTTTTCTATTTATTTTTTACCCCAACAAAGAAGAACTGAAAAGAGTATTTGCCCAGATAGTGCAGTCGTCTTCAGAGTATGTAGATTCTCTGCCATTGCTTTCACAATCAAGTATTTATTATCCTTAGGAAATGCTTGAAGGTACTTCAGTTACTTATTTCTAGGAACTGAGGTCTCACGTCCAGAAAAAGCTCCCGTTGGTACAAGCTGTAGTTGCCCTCCTGCCTAGCAACACTGATCATCACAAACAAATCCGTCTGGAGCACCCTGGCTCCCAATGAAGCAGTGTCCAAATACAGTCTCTGTATCAATAGTTCAGCAAGCATTCTTTGTGCAATTCTTCTTGCCAACGTTGATGATAGCTTCTTCTTGACTGCAGTCTTTGATTCAAGATATATTCTGTTGGAGTAGTAGGCTGGTAGCTAAAATAGATCTGCAGATGCGGTCATCAGTGTTTCTAAATGTCTGGACTGCATTAATACTAGTTAGAACATTTAGAGATGCTTTGGCCAGTTTGGAGACAAATACCATCCTCATCTCCTCAATTCACGTTTCCAAAATATGAAATCAGTTTTTAATGTTTTTATTTATATATATAATGCTTTTAATTGTCCTTTCTCCTTTTAACCAGTTTTATTCACAGATTAGAAAAAAAAAAGGGTTCATCATAGTCTAATCCAGCACTTTAAGGGGAAGATTGTGAGTCCCCAGGTGATCATTTCTTACATTATTTGTTTCTGTCATGCTACTAGTTACAGCCATAACTATATTTATTCATAAGAACTGATCTCTTCTGATTGATCAAAGTCATAAATTTTCTCTACTAAATACATTATTTATCTCATAGGGAATTATTTTGAAAATTTCAGCAAAATGACTAACAGTTTAAGCTTTAGAGCAAATGCTTGAAATTTGGCAGGGAGTCTTCTCATTGTCAGGGGATGCTTCTTCTGTCCACTTGAAAAATCCATTCCAAATTTGGAGAAATGATGAGACTGAAAATTTTAGGCTTTGTTCAGCCAATGGGAGGTACTTTGTAGCGTTGCAGCTTTATACACACCAACCAGCTCCAGTCTGGAAGTGCAGGAGTGATGAAATGGGAGTAAGGGGTAGTGGGCTACGTGAAGGATTATTGCAGCATACAGGCTCTGGGCCAGGGCACCTCTCAGTATTCCTTGGGTGTCAGCCAGCACTCCTGGTGCCTGGCACAAAGCAAGTGCCCTCCTGAGGGCAGGTCTTGCCACATGAAGGTGACAGCTGGTATTGTCCACAGTCAACTTAAGCAGCAGTGGTCCATGATGGGGATAAAGACATTTTTGTCCAAGGGATGAATGTGGGAATCACTGCTGTTCCATATAGCAGAATCTGGGAGGGTTTTTTGTTACTTCCCTCAGTTTCTAAGTATTCATAGGTACTAGTAAGACTTCAGAGTGAAAGAATGATAGGTTTGGTAATAATAAAGTTAAGGTTACTCTGCAGACTTCAGGTGCTCTCCGTGTATGCATTTCAATGAAAAAATCATACTAAATATTTCTGTTCCTCAAAGTAGCTCTTTTGTTTCCCTTCCCACTATTTTTTTATACATAGTTTTATTTAGGAGATAGGATTTGATTTAGGAATGTAGAGGATACTGTCACAAGACAGCTCTTTATTACTTAATTCATACCACTGTTACTGATGTTGGTTCATGCAATGCTGCATTCAGCTACAAGAATAAGATTAAATATTTATTTTTATTGTTTATTCCTGGTTGTTGTTTTTTTTTGTTTGTTTTGCTTTTTTTGTTTCCCCCACAAAGAACTAGGGTACATATTTTGCTTTAATTCATATTGGATATAATTGTACTTGCAGAATGAGCCAAATGCAAACTTGAGTTTGAACTTCTGTCACTGTTCTTAAATTTTGTTGACCTTGAACAGGGAATGAACTAGGAGATCTCTTGTACAAGTTGAACCTAAACTGAAAATAAATGAAAAAATACATTAAATTCAGTAGAATGGCACATGCATTTGTTTTAATTTACCTTAAAATATTATTTTAAGAAATACGTTTAAATTGTTCAGAATAGTCAGATTTCTTTTTTTGTCTCAACACAAGGCTGAAATTTACGCATTAATATGTATCACATTGCTGCATTTGTAACTTGAAATAAGCAAAATATAACTGCCTTTGCCTAGAGAACAGCAATTTACTTAAGGAATTCAGTGGAAGAAGTTGTGCAGGTAATATGAAATCATATCTGAAAGTTCACTACTTGTCATCACAAGAATATAGAACACACACTGCTGAGAGAGATCATTAAGGCTAATAAAAGAGTTATTATAAATATTCATTCATTGAATAATTTTTAATTGCTTTATGGAAGCATATGCTTGACAAGCCAAAAAGAAATGAGACCTCAGGAGTGGAAAAGCCATTCTAAGTAACACAAAAGTGCTGTACCCGATCCACTAAACAACATGGAGCATATTTAAATTCATTATCTTTGGTGCAGAAATCATGCCAAAGCCCCTCATCACATCACATAAGTGTTTGGTAGGGCTCTTGAATGCTTCAGAAACAAGGAAGATAATGAAAAAGAAAAATCTTTATCCCACATAGGAGAGCATTAAATACACATTAAATCTGAACCACATTTTCAGAAATGCTTCTCGTTGCACAGAAAGT